CATACCAATTGCCAATTTACTCGTTAACTATTTTTCCTCTATATTTTATGCAATTATAGTTGCTGATCCTCTCTCTCTCTCTCTCTATCTCTCTCCCTCCTTCTCCCTTCTGTGCTTTTGACATCTCAGTGAAAGAGCTTTGTTAAATCGTTTGATGATTGAGTTGCACAAATTGGATAGCGATGTTCTAGTTGGGCACAATATATCTGGGTTTGACCTGGACGTCATCCTTCACAGAGTTCAGGTTTGTATTGTTATCAAAGCATTCAATTGGTCTTTGCCATTTTAGAAGAGCTTCAGCCGTGAGTTTGACTTTTGATTACAATGATATGAATTTCATACTTCTGGTGCTGATCTGACTAGTTAGTACTCAGCCACCCCATTTCATGGTACAACTGGCTTCTTTAAATATTAAACAATATTCAAGTTGGGATCAGCATTATTAGTGTTGTGTCCTAGTGTTTTTTTCCCCACCTTGTCATGGTGGAGGTACTATCCTCTAGATGACCCGCTTACTTCTTATGGTATGGTGCAGGCTTGCAGAGTGCCCAGCAGTATGTGGTCAAAAGTAGGCCGTCTCAAGCGCTCTGTTATGCCCAAACTTAATAAAGGAAGTTCCACGTTTGGCTCAGGAGCAAGCCAAGGGATCATATCTTGCATTGCCGGCCGTCTCTTATGTGATACTTACATATGTTCTCGTGACCTATTAAAAGAGGTAGGTTAAATCATTATTATAGCGTTCAGTAAAGCTTTTAGTATCTTACTTCGTCACTTTCTGCTTCTTTCAGGTTAGCTATTCCTTGACACAATTAGCAAAATCACAGCTAAATAAAGACCGTAAGGAGATCACTCCGCACGATATTCCTCATATGTTCCAGAATTCTGAATCACTCATGGAACTTGTAAGTCCTTGTTTCTAGTCAAATTTTCCAATGCTCGTGTTCTAAAATTATGGATCTTGTCTAAGTTTATTCTTTGGTCTACCAAATTTCCTATCAATGCTTTGAGTGCCTTCATGCGGCAATAAAATTCACCAGAGAGTAAATTGCTGATCATAATGCCCGCCCTTAGTAGGATTTCCCATAATCGGCTCTAGGTTGGGGTGTGAATAGTTTTAGTCTCCTTCCTCTTACGTATTATTATCTAGGGGCTTTGAAGCTGGTGTCTTTACTGATGTCATTAGCAAAGAGAATATGTCTAAGTACAGAAATAGAAGAATCCAGTCTTTGTAACCTAGAACAAGGGAGTCGATTGATAGCACAATAGCTCTGTATAAGTTGAACTTTCTGAAATTTTCACACTTTATAGTAATTTTCATGGAGGTTTCCAGTTTGGAATACAGGTTATATGAGTCACATTCTCCAAATATCACAGAAAGTTAATACTTGATTAGTTAATGTTGACACCCTTTCTTATTAGTCCAGTGCCAAAGCCTTATTGCTGCCTCGCATGAAACGATGTATTCTTGTTTGATTGAAAACCATTCATACTATTTAGGAATGTATTTTGCGCTTCTTACACATCTAGTGTTTGCAGATCGAGTATGGTGAAACAGATGCATGGTTGTCTATGGAACTTATGTTCCACTTAAGTGTTCTTCCACTCACACGTCAACTGACTAGTATTAGTGGAAATCTTTGGGGGAAAACTCTCCAGGTGAAGTTTGCTGTGTGCTTCAAATAGTTTAGTAATATGTGAGAGATCAACTTGTTACCACACATGGATTACAAAATTTGAAAAAGAATGATTTGTTTAATTTCAGGGTGCAAGGGCTCAGAGAGTAGAATATCTGTTATTGCATGCGTTTCATTCAAAGAAATTTATTGTCCCAGACAAGTTTTCCACTCAGTCCAAGGAAATGAAGACAACAAAACGTACACTGTCTAATGGTGTTGAGGGACGAGAGATTGATGACGTGGATGCTGATGACACAAATTTTAATAACGAGCCTTCAGAGATTGAACATGGGAAAACCAAGAGGGGACCTTCCTATGCAGGTGGATTAGTTTTAGAGCCCAAAAAAGGTTTATATGAGAAGTATATATTGCTTTTGGATTTCAACAGTCTTTATCCTTCCATTATTCAGGTAAGTTATTTGCGTTGTTCTCGCTTTGTACCCCTAAGCTCCCCTCTGCTTTCCCTACCCCTTGTTGAAGTGATGATGTTTTTCTACACTTTGTTGTGCACTATTATCATTCTACCTGCATATCTTATGCAGGAGTACAATATATGTTTCACTACAGTTGAAAGATTTGCAGATGGATCAGTTCCCCATTTACCATGTGTTAAAACTACTGGAGTTCTACCAGAGGTAAAGCATCTTAATAAACATGGAACCTTGCTCCTCTTTTGATGTCAGTTTTGGGATTGCCTGTAATGTGATGAGAAAATAAATCAATAAGTCAGGCAGACAAAAATGAAGATTTATATCTCCAATAAGGTTGTCATAAATTAGGAATCAATGATAACTATTTATCATAATTTTAGAGAAAATAAACTTGATATCAGGATTTTAGTGTTTTATAATTATGAAAGATCTGCCTGGTCTAAAGTTTTGAATTTCTATAATGCATCACAGTATTCCTCAGCAAAGTCATGGTAGATATAGTTACATTTCCATAAAAGGATGGGATGGCACTGGAGATAGATTTCATCATGCAAACCATTTAACTTTAATGGCAGCGAAAAAACTGAAAAATATGCATCTGGACATGGTGTGGCTTAATGTATCTGCATTAGTAGAAAGGTCAGCATTTTTTCATCAGAGCAAAAAGATATAATTTAATTATGTTGTCGGTAATATATTTTCTAGAAACCATATTTTTTTCTTTAAATTGAAGTCACAAGGTTCAGTTCCAGCTTGCTTTGATTTCAGCAATAAAAGGGAGAAAATATGACTTCATTAGATTGATTGCAAATAAATGGTTTGATATACGATGAGCATGGTTGGCAGAAAAGCATGTGAATTGAGGGAAAGATTGCTACTTACCCATAGTAACCCTCTAATGATTAATATAGGTGGATGCCAGTTACGTTTTTCTTCTACTTTTCATTGGTACCTTTCAACTAAACCAGCATAACCCTTTCCAGATTTTCTTGCTTTTGTTTCTAAGTTTTCATCTTATTTTCTTTACAAACAAATATGTAGTTGTATAAAAATGAAACCGGAGTTATTGCCTACCTTAGATGAATGGAGTTGTAATCAGCTTCCAATGATTCTATCGATACCTATAGTTCAATATTCTAATAAAGAATCAACATGTACGTATAGTTACTAAAGAATTTGGTGGAGAGGAGGAGAATGGTGAAATCATGGTTAAAAACAGCATCTGGTCTCAAGGTTCAACAACTTGACATACATCAGCAAGCTCTGAAGCTGACAGCAAACAGGTTTCTGTTGTTTTTTCCTTGCAATTGATTCCTGTGCTTCTTCTTGTGATTTCTTAACTGTGGCCTCTCTCTTTTCTCTGGTGAACAAATTTGTTCTACAGTATTTATGGATGTCTGGGATTCTCCAACTCCAGATTCTTTGCGAAACCACTAGCAGAAATCGTTACGCAACAAGTATGAACTTCATTAGCTGCTATTATTGAATAAACACATCATAGGTAGGCAAATAATAGATGGATAATGCTGATGACCAATTCACTTACTTCTGTGAAGGGAAGGGAAATTCTACAAAGTACCGTTGATCTTGTTCAGAATACTTTGAACTTAGAGGTCAATCTTTTACTAAATAATAGATTTGCTGAATGTCGTCTTGCAGCTTTTGTCTGGTTTTCCCTCATTGAGCAGTCAAACCTGAAGCATGACTTCTCTTTCTCAAGCAGGTTATATATGGAGATACGGATTCAATAATGATTTATAGTGGACTAGATGACATTGTAAAAGCGAAATCAATTGCAGCAAAGGTCATACAAGAGGTGGGTTTTGAATGTAAATTGCTTTTGATTATCAAATATCTCGGTAAAATTCTAGGTTATCAAGTTTATTAATAATATGAAATATCGTCACCTATGTATCCCCATGTAAATCCATTGCAAGTATGAAAGCTCTTCCTGTATTTATTATCGATCAATTTGATACTTGTTAATACATATGATGTTTCACCTGCTAATTAGGAAATTCTGATGCCATAATTATCCTGAGCTAATCCACTTAATTCCAATTGGTTCTGGAATGTAAATTCAAATTCTTTATCATGTTTTCTAAGCTTGAGCACGAATTTGCACCCAAGCTGTTGGCCACTGCCCATGTCATATCATTTAATTTCTTGTTGTACTTTACCATGCTACCTTTTCCCTTTGCTTGTGCTTTGCAACTCTAGGTTCAACTTCCCTGAGTCTTGCCAGAGTGTTTCTGCT